ATCTATCTATCTATCTATCTATCTATCTATCTATCTATCTATCTATCACAATAAATAGTTCTATTTGGTACTTTTATTGATATAATAGATAATCCAGGATGGATATGAGTTGTATTTTCAGCTTTTTCTTAAATATAGAGATTATCTAAATGTTGTTTGATATTTTTATTTTAGGTTCTTTCCAACACGGTGCTTTTGGTTTCTTGAATAAACAACTGTGTAAATTGGACCACTGAGTGGATAAACTGGACCTTGATTTGAACCAGACCCTGGTTTTAACCGGACTAAACGGACCCTGGTTTTGACCGGACTCTGGTTTTAACCAGACCCTGGTTTTAACTGGACTAAACGGACCCTGGCATTAACCGAACTCTGGTTTTAACTGGACCCTGGTTTTAACCAGACTCTGGTTTTAATCCGGACCCTGGTTTTAACTGGACTAAACGGACCATGGTTTAGACCGGACTCTGGTTTTATCTGGACTCTGGTTTGAACCAGACTCTGGTTTTGACCGAAACCTGGTTTTGACTGGACCCTGGTTTTAACTGGAATAACCAGACCCTGGTTTTAACCGGACCCTATATTGAACCAGACCCTGGTTTTAACCGGACCCTGGTTTTGACTGGACCCTGGTTTTAACTGGAATAACCAGACCCTGGTTTTATCCTGACTCTGGTTTTAACTGGACCCTGGCATTAACCGGACCCTGGTTTTAACCGGACTAACTGGACCCTATATTGAACCAGACCCTGGTTTTGCCTCCTCACCTGCTTCTGGCTGTGGCCGCAGGAGCACCAGGCGTAGCGCCTCCCGTTCTCCAGCCGGACTCTGCAGGGGAACCGGGCCGCCGGAACCTTCTGGGAGGACTGCAGACGCAGGGGCTGCAGACCGGAGAACCGGAGAACCCGTGAGAGGGGGCGGGGCTTAAATGTACTGGAAAATGGAGGCCCAGGACCAGAGGGTTCTGGGTTGGAGTCCCGGGGGAACCAGGACCAGAGGGTTCTGGGTTGGAGTCCCCGGGGGAACCAGGACCAGAGGGTTCTGGGTTGGAGTCCCCGGGGGAACCAGGACCAGAGGGTTCTGGGT